AATTATTTACCTACTATTCGGTAATGACTTTGATCAGTAAGTTTAAAAAGGACAAGTCTACCATCTTCCCCAACACTAGCAATTTCAGAATCTGGAGCGGTGTTGAAAGGTCTGATCGCCATTCCCGTAGCTGCAGCACTTTTGTTCTCTGAGAAACTATGCAGATTATGGGTTATAATCTGCTGCATTGTATAAACATGATCTATGTGCGTTTCTATACCGAAATCCGTTTCGTGCTCAGTCTCACGTTCGGACTTTAAAAGAATTGAGAAAGGATAAAGATAACGGATCACAAGCAGAAAAATCTGTATGACGTAATAATTTACCTTGATGCACTTGAAGACATTTAGGTTGCCTTTTGAGGATGACGTGAGTAAGAACGTATCGCTACTATCGTTAATAAATTGCATATCCCTCACATCTCCATTGTGATCTATCTTAGCGATAATTTTATTCTCGTATGAAAAAGGAACGAGATTGCGCAAACTGATTGGTATTTCTTCCAATTTCCATAACGTTAAAACATTATTCTATGTAAAGATAAACTAATTAGCAGAATTTAGAGAAGGATTAAAAAAGGAGACGAGGTGCACTACCTTTTTTTCGTCCCAAGTACCTGTTGCGAATAACGTGATCCGACTATCATATGCCTGTTGCGAAGCGGCAAAACGGACTTTTGAAAGCTTTCCATAAGCGTGTAGCGTGTATAAACTTTCCAAATCTGGCATAATTCGATCAATTTTAAATGAACAAAAATGCGACGAGGTAAATTATTTATATATGTTCTAGAAACACGTGCACTTTAACCGATTTTTATTCAACGTGTCAAATATCCAAAAATGCATAGTTAACATCATTATCCACCTTAACATTAATGACTACGTATCAAACTTAGATTTTGAAAGTGACATTCTTTAAAAATTGTTAAAAAAAAAAAAATCGATACTTTGGTATTTTGGATTAATTTTTATAATAAAATACAGTAATTGTAATTTTGAACACAAGTAATATAATTTAAAGAAATCGTAAAAGATTAATAAATTAAATATGATAATTGTAATATACAATTTTTATAGTTTATACGGTGCATCTTTAGAGCCAAGTTCGATATTTATTCCAACTGCTGCGGATGATCGTTGGCCACTATCATTATCTTCAAACCCTACACTACTTCCCTTACTCTCTCTACTCTCAAGAGTTTTTTTTCCCTCGTTATATGTTCGAATCTCGCTGATAAGTTGCTTAAGCGCGTTTTTCTCCGAATTACCAAAGACAACTCCAACATATCCCATAATGGCACCATAGACTGCAATAGGTGCAATTGCCACATTAATAATTATCTTCACCCAAAAATAAGTTGATATTGTTCCAATTGAAAATAAAATTTCTATGGCAATTAATCCAAACACCAATAATAGACAAATATAAAACAAAAATATCTGTACACGTGATGTGGTTTGTGATCTGCTCAAATCCCTATCGAGAAGTTCAATCATGTTTTTAATTGTGCGAGTATCCAATTCATGTAAAGTTTCATAAGGGCCTTGTTCCCAAACAGATAACGGAATAACTGAATTCTTGTCGCGTCCAACAAGTGTAAATGTAGCTTCAACACCAAAATGATCGGAATAAGAGTATCCCAATTCTGGAATCCTTTCGGTAAAGACAACACGTGAACCACTGCACCAAAATCTCGATGTCTTACGGTAAAATATATAGTCGATACGAATACCAGCATCTCGATTAGGTGTCGCATGTTTGAGAAAACACTTAGACCATGTATTAATCGGAGAGTCACAAGTAATACCTTTTCGGTGGATGGCTGCGTTCGCATCGAATGCAGGTAAACCAGCTTCTTGTTGGTTAATTTGGTTAATGGAGGTGGTGGAAGCGCTAATCGGTGTATCGGAATTTTGAGATTGCCAAGAATCTGTCATCTGTCCATGTTGAGTGATAAGTTTATATGCAAGGGTATCTTGCTCGCTATTATAATCACCAACCTAAGGAAAAAAAAAAGTAATTACATGAATAACAATAACATTGATTACAAAATGAAAAAAACTGTTAATAATTAATTATTTTGGTGGCTGAAGCTGAAAATTTAAAAATTTTTGGGGTACATTTTTTTGACTTTTTTTTTAGGGTTAGGGGTCAGCTTTATGGGTAGAATTTATAATAAACAACTATAAGTGGGGACCCAAATTTTCAACTTCAGCCAATTTCAGCACCATCCCAACAATTATTACCGCAATAACATTTCGTCCTCGTGAAGCTGAAATTTTCATTAAATTTGCGGCTTCCCAAGCTTGAGAAACTCTATGTGCCAGATATTCATCATTTTTTTTAGACCCGTAACTCGCATGAACCTACATACATCGCAATAATATTGTTAATCACATAATAGAGTAAATAACATAAATATATGTGTGTATATATCTACATATATCTTACGTGAGTATTGAATACTTCGATTAACCCAGACACTGGATGGTCAACTACTGCACTAGTTAACCCTTTACCCACATACCAATCACCATGTGTAAGTTTAAGTGGGTTACCGTTCAAACGATATTTGTGAAAATTGAATTCAACTATTGGATAACGCGAGAGAATGACAAGACCTCCGCCAAAAACACCACTATATATCGCAAATTAAAATATTCAATGAATGATAGATAGCTTTTGTAAAATTAAAGTTTATGTGCTAATGTTGGTCAAAACTTTGACATGAATTCGGTTACGAGTCCTGCCATTATGTAAGCAAATCTGCATTGTTGATAAATTCTTACCTCAAGAACTAGATACGAAAATTTATACTTTACCTGTGGGTAAACCTAGCATGGGGGAAACGCTTTTTAGTTCTGTTCCTAACTAATTCGTAATTGTCATACACCCACACTTCTTGTAAACAAACAATGTCATAATCTGAGCGTGCCAGGCTATCGGCAATGGCTTCCATGCGCTGGTTTCGTTTCTTGGAAACCAACTTTAGACCCCTAAATATATGCTCAATTTTAAAATGGTAAAATGCGAATAGACTACAAAACTAATATTGGAGTTTCTCCAAAATACCAGCAATTCAGAGTAAGAACTGAAAGTGTTGTAGTACTTGAACCACTCATTACTCTTATTTCAATTTTCGAACGATTATATTATAGTCGTCAACCGACACGAGGAATTCAAAACGAAAGGTTAAGCTCTAATAAAAGTTTATGTTGTATTCAAATGGTGCATATATATATGCACAGCTTATTCTAATAAGGAATTGGCGCTACAAATTAGATTAATTACGAATTCATCTACACTTAAAAGTATATGTATGCCAATAACGATAATCTGCTCTGAACCGAACTTGCACATGACTTATTGTTCTCCGTACTTCATTGTTAATTTCGGAAGGTTTATTATTGATACGTTCGTATGTAATTTAATTTAGCTACGTACGTACGTACGTAGTTTTTAGAGATGGGCAAGGTAATTACTTATTACGTAAAAAATTAAATCTTGCTATGTTAATAATATTGTAATATGTCGCTGATGATCGTGAAATCGGATGATGGTGAAGTTTAGAGGTCTCGATTTGAAAATATAAGCCCTACCAACCCTAAATCCTAACTTACTATGTATAAAAAAACAGCCAACAAAAAAGGCCCCAAAAAATTTTAAAAATTGTACGTACGTACGTACATTAAATAGTTCTACCTACAACTAGGATAACGGGCCATTTTTTTATCGGAATTAATGTCACTCCCAAGTGCTGCGTAGCAGCATTAACCAATATCGATGTTATCGTTTGTATTATTTTAGAGGATCCCTAATTTCTCTCCCCAGTTCTGATTGGACATTTTTAAATGCCGTCTCTGGTTAGACAAAGTAGACTACGCCACCAATCAAGTTATAAGATCAGGTGTAACATAAAATTTTCAAGTTTTTGAAGAAATTTCTTGCAAAAAAGAAAACTTTACTCAAGAAAAACTGTCCATATCATTTTTTTGATGCTGTTTTACATCTTCATACTTAGACTTTATCAACAACAAGCTGCTTCTCTTTAGAAGGATCAAGTTTGATATTTACTATACTTTGTTTTGCTTTTTTATATCATTTTGCTATAGTTTGGTTTTATTGTTGACCAAAAAATTGTCTGAAAGAGTTTTTTGTTGATAGCTTTTATTTACAAATACAAGTAAGTATAATATTGTACTGTATATATATAGTATATAAATTAGGTTTAGAATAATCTTTTACTAATAATAGATTAATTTTAATATTTGAATATTATCTAAAACAGAGTTAAATTTACATAAAATTTGGATGATTGCTATAGTGCGAGAATCCTTAAATCAGCATGTCATATTATATTCGGCCAAATTATGTTTCAAATATAAATCAGATCAAAGTTGGGTTGGAGCTAATCAAATTGCAGAAAAGTAAAAAAAAATAAAAAAAAAATAAAAAAATAAAAAAAAGAGAAACAAAGATCTGCAACAAAATGAAATCATGTATTGTCACAGATTAAAACGAAATCTGATCAAAATGAAATTTTTCTGTTTTTTAAAAAAATATAAAATTTTTTGGGGGAC